GAGAGAGAGAGAGAGAGAGAGAGAGAGAGAGAGAGAGAGAGAGAGAGAGAGAGAGAGAGAGAGAGAGAGCGGGGGTTGGGGAGGGGGGGATGCGATGATCTGAAACAATTAAGAAGAGGTGGGAGAATGTCTGTTCTGAACGGCGATGCATTTCATGCATATTAACTGACCTTTGTTCCGCCATGTTGCAAGGTAAGCTGTTTTCTGGTTCATGTGGAGGGCCAACACAGATCAGGAGGTGAACTGTATCAGATGCCCACATATATATGGAAACTTTTCTCCAACCTGCCCTGGTTTTTGGGCACCACTCACCGGGGCAGGTTTGGAAAAGCAGGCCACGGTACTCGTGGCTTGAACTGACTCAAGTCCCCCTATTCATAGGGAAACTTTAGAGGGAACCAGCTAGAGCACCTTAGCGAACCAGGTGTTCACACAACTTCACAGTGCTTACAGTTTCCCTAGGCTCGAAATATCTGGGAGTCTGAGAATCACTTCCAGATATTTTCAAGTGCTTGGTTCATAACTTCATATGTTTCGCCAATGGCGAGGCAATGTAATCAAAACATTATGACCTGCAGATGGCAACTTGAGATTTGGAACGAAAGGAATAACATGGATCGTGATGCCTGTGTTGCTTTTTTGTTGTCAGCAAATGTGGAGAGGAAAGAGATGATCGAAAATTTTGGTACAGAACTAAGAGAGAATTATACCCACTCTATTTTGCGATGTTACAGGTTTGTTTTGAAGCTTTTTTTCCTCAAATAGGAAACATTCAAAACAACTCGAAGCAAGCTATTGGATTTTTGCCTGAAAGAGCATGTTTTTTTTCCGTCTTTTGTGCTTTTATTATTGACAGGGGTGTGATGGAGGTTGTTGATGGAAAGCAGCGCCTGACCAGCATATGGTATGTGGTATTCGCCTCATAGGTATTTCCATGTCCTTCATTCATCCTGGCCATCCGTTGCCACTTTTAGAGTCACAGAAAGTCAATCTTTGCTGATGTGTCCTTTATGGTTCCATGAATCTGTACTTCCATTAATGTGTATTTTCATTCACACGTATGTGGTTGTCCCCCCCTCCCCGCTCCCTTTGACGTTTTAAGCACCAGTACATGGGCACCTGCGCGCGGGCCTGACACCTCAAATTCTGGAAGCACGAAACGAAAACACGACCACCGAGCCAATTTATCAATGGCAGGCCCAGCGTTTGATGTTTCAGCCTGTTTTTCTTGTGGCGACGAGTTTCGGACTGCAAGGCTGGGGCCGTGTACCAGTGGTTTAAACCTTTAGCTCCAGTCTAAGGGTCGGCCACCACAAGCTGGAAACCGAGTCCATCGTCCCAGAACAGCAGAAGGGCAAAATGCATGATGGAAAGGGCTCCAGCACCCCAGAGAAACTGACTATGCAAGGAAAATCAGTCCATGAAAAAAAAAGAAGCCAAACCACATGCATGTTTTAGTCAAAGTCGGTGCGACCTGGTGAGAGTGACCTTTCAGGCTGGGGAGGCCCGGGAGGTTATTTTTTTCTCTTTCTTTTTTTCTTTTTGCTTTTTTCTTTTCGGTTCGACAAAATAGTCTCCGGCACCAATGGGCCTAGCTCAGTTGATACACCCATGAACTGTTGATATACAGACTCAAGTTCATATCCAGATATTATCAGAGATTCAGAATCAAATTATTGTGAATTGCCTGGGTTTCAATGATGATATCTCAAGGCTGTCACCCTTTAAAAGAAAAAAGAAAAAAGAAAATTCTTGACCGAACTGGTGGTTTAAACCACCAGTACATCCGAAAAAGGAGATTGAGCCTCTCCTAAAGAATTGGAGGCCATGGACTGTCGATAAAATGAATCAGCGGTTCATGACCTCCTATTTTTCAGGAGAGGCTCAATCTCCGTTTCCGGATTTACTGGTGGTTTAAAGCTTTCAAAAGGATGTACCCTAATCCAAAGAATATATTTCATCATAGCACAAATTGATATTCACTGGTTTGCTAGCTTTCCAACCCGGGCGAACGGGGTACCCCACGGCGCCCGGAATGACGCTCAGGGCGCTCGGCCGGGCGACCCCCCCGGTCGGCCTTCCGGACCTCCCCAGCGCCAAGGCCAAACGGGCCTCAAAAAAAAAAAATTGTGTCGCCGTTGGTTGGCCCGGATGTTAAACGAAACTTTTGCAGTCGGCAGGTTTTTTTTCAGGGCGGGTAAGGCCACATTTCACTCCTTTTTTTTTGTTGCAACCTGGGCCTTAGATCGTCTCAGATCGACGGTGCAGGGCAGCTCCAGGTTTCAAATTTGAAACCTGGCCACCCCGCTCACGCCCGTGGTCCGCCCTGCCGGTCGTGCCCTTTCCGCCCCGCGAGATCACATGTGGCAGTTGTCATCCGCTGCAGCCGCCATCTTCACCTCTGCTGTGTAACCTCCTCCGCATGCCGTCGTCACGTCTGCTGCGCCATTGAGACCTCCGCCATTAAAGTCCGTTGTGCCACGCACAAAAGGCGCGAAGGTGAGCTTTTTTTTCTTTTTCTTCTCTTATTCTTCTTTAGTCTTTCTTCTTCTTCTTATTCTCCTTTCTTTTCGTCTTTATTTCTAGTAAGTTTCTACTTCTTAGTAGTCCCTGCTTCTCTTCTCAAGTTCCCATTCTTTTTCTTTGTTTCATCTTGTTGTTCCTTGTTCTCTCCTCCTTGTTCTTCGGCATAGGCATCTACAGTGTAAACTTCTCTTTTCCTGGGTGCGCTTTGTAGCCTGCTGCTAGTCGCTTAGCACACTTACTCTCTGCACTCATTCGCCTCCTCCCTCTTTGCATCTCCATCGCCGCCCTCCTCCCTGTCTCTCGATCGTTTCTCTCCTTCCCCTCTGTCCATCACCTCCCTCCCTCCTCCGGCATACCTTGCCTCATCCTTCCTCCCTCCCTCTCCATCGGCTCTTTCCTCCGTACTCCGCCATACCCTGCCTCCTCCCTCCTGCTTCCATCTCCATCACCTCCCTCATCCCTCCCTCTCCATCGCCTTCCTCCTCCCAACTCTTCCA